AATCTGAGGTTGTATCAATTGAAGTTAATGTCTTTAGGATTGGCTAATTCAATAGGAATCTTACGGCGGCTGGTGTCTGTCGTATTGAGAGGATTGGAAGGATTCATCATGGCTTACTTGGGTAATATTGTAGTTTCCTGAATGATCTGGAAGAACATTTCCTGCATGTGTAATTTGTATACTACTTAAAATGGGTTAAAATTAAAATTACAAAAATGTAAATTCACCAAGGAGGTTATTAAGTAGTTGGGATTCATCATAATTAAGAAGCAGATGGAACTGGATCAACTAAGGCGGAAATAATGAGTATCATACCTGACCCATGTTATCTGTAAGTGTTTATTGGAGTCGCTTTTGTTCTTAATATCACACATTATGATAACAGTATTCTAGTATATAGAACGTTATATCATTTTATCGCATACACATATATTATTTAAATGTTATTTTTAATAGATACGCATATTTGAGTTGACACTATTTATTTATTAAACCTATATGGCCTGAAAATTGCGTTTAGCATGAAACAGACTATTACCGCTGGGTGCTGACTTCAATGTCTATATTTATATTTACATACGCTTTTTCCTGAACTGAGCACTTTAACCCATACCTTAGCATACCTTATAACTATATATATATATATATATATATATATATATATATATATATATATATATATATATATATATACTGCAAAACTCTTCCATGAATTGAATTGAGCCCTGTTTGTCATTGGCCTGTTTATTAGAAGAATAAGTCCGTAAAAATTAATCTTCTTTTCAACCGATACCTCAGGTGTAAAATCTCCGACTGATGCCAAAACAGTCGGCTTTTAGATCCCTGCTTGAGGCAACCGGATGTCTGGCCACACTGATGAGCTGTGATGCAATGAAACAGTCTGTTTGTGAATGACATTATATATATATATATATATATATATATATATATATATATATATATATATATATATATATATATATATATCACCCCAAGCAAGTATGGCAACAGTATTCAATTCAGTAACGAATGGTAGATTTAAAGAATGGACTCAGACGAGAAAAAACGTTCCGGCGCGACACAGAGAACCAACTTTCCTTGTGGTAGATGTAGCTATTGATTCAATGTATTTGCTTCACCCCAGGTCAGTGTAAAACGTGAGACCAAGAAGGTGCAGAGAGACGCTCTTATGAAGTTGAACATCAGCCATGCTGATAAGAGGCAGGGAGTTTTCTCTATGTTGGGTAATTAAGAGCAGTTTCTTTTTGGAGGCATTAAAATTTACAAACCATTTCCTGATCCAGTCAGCCACAGATTGATGTTCCTTTTCAAGACCAACACCCAGGTTAATTTTGTCAGCAATACCGGATTTACTATTGAGACAGGAGTAAATGGTAATATCGTCTGCGTAGATGCCTTCTTGAGAAATGATGACATCAGGAAGATAGTTGACGAATCAGAAACAGAGGGATAGAGGCTTGGGGAACACCAGCGTTCGTATGAAAGGACTCGTTTAGGACGTACTTCATTTCACGATTTGACAGGAATGATTGGATTAAATCAAATAAACGTTATGTAATACCATATCCCTGAAACTTACATAGTAGGCCGGCATACCAAACCCTATCAAACGCCCTATCGCCGTAAGCACGTCAGCGGTAGACACACACATATATATATATATATATATATATATATATATATATATATATATATATATATATATATAAGTATAGGATTGGTGTATACGGAATAAATTCCTATAGCCAACAATTACTATTCTTTAAAAAGAGTGCTCAATACATAGTAGAGCAGATATAATTATTTATTTAAAATTATAACATAAAATAATATATATATATATATATATATATATATATATATATATATATATATATATATATATATAAATTAATTGATTTAAAATATGTTTTTTCGCTACACAGTTCTAACCATGTTTCAAAAATGGAAGAAAAAGCCACAAATTTAATTTTTGTGATTAAATCAAAGACATTAGTTCCATTTCATCCTCAAGCGAATTTTTGAGGATGAAATGGAACTGATGTCTTTGATTTAATCACAAAAATTAAATCTTAATGCTCTGTAAATTTACATTGAGCATTATTTTGTAAAAATAAAAATATCTATAAGAACACCGGATTATATATCTTGCTGTTCTTTCTTTTATTATTATATATATATATATATATATATATATATATATATATATATATATAATCTTACTTTTTGTAGATTATCAGGGAACACAAACATTTTTACCTTTTTGTTAACTGCTACCTGTGATGAATGAAAATGTTTTACAATATGAAGTTATAGATTCACATTGGATGAACTACGGTACAATAGCAGATAAACTAAGCACGTTCATATAAACGAATGTAAAAGTAATTTAAGAAGAACTAGATATAAGTATCTGGCTATGGCAGAAATCACATTTATAAAACGACGCAATAAATTTATCCCGTCACGAGTACTGTGACCCATTAGATTCATAGGGTTATTTATCACTGTACTGTAACTATAAGATTTGTAAATTTGTCGAGGGTAAGGAAGCGACGCAGAAGTTATTCCTCATAAGGCTGGATTTTTAATTCAGACTGTTCCTTCTCTGTGCCTACAGACACTGCAAAGCAAAAGAACCCAAATCAAACGCATTTATATGAAATTGAACGTAATTTACTCGGCTGGAATTCGAACTCGATCCGCTGAATTCACTTTCCTAATCATTAACCATTACACTAAATTCAATCAATTAGTTTCTAATCTGTAATTACAAGTTTAGATAATTTAATTTAATTTAATTTAATTTTTTTTTTCTTTCTTTCTTTCTTTCTTTCTTTCTTTCTTTCTTTCTTTCGAATGAGGCCAGCAAGGAAACAGAGCATATTAAAAGTTCAATTTCAAATGATTTTCAAGTAAGACTTGAATATACATAATTATCGGATAAAAATATGAAGCCATCAGATCAAAATACACAGTAAGAAAGACAAAACACATGTAACATCTACATATATAAATATAAAGAGCATTTCAGAGTTATTTAAGGATTGTTCAAGAGAAAAGGTGTGTGTCTGGATACCAGTTTCCTACAGCCGTACTTTAGTAATATAATCGCATCAAAAGTGTAATTAAAAAATTCCCCTCTCTCTTGATGCACACACACACACACACACACACACATACCTACATCAATAGATAAATACATACATAGGTAGATTCATAAATAGATAGATAGAGACATACATACATAAATACATACATGGACAGATCGAGGCATATATATATATACATACATTAATAGAGATAGATAGATAGATCCATAAATAGGGGCGTACATAAATAGATAGATAAATAATAGATAGATAGATAAACATATAATTCGATAGTTAGATAGATAGATAGATAGATAGATGGAGAAATAGATAGACACAAATATAGACAGATACATATATCGATAAATAAATAAACAGAAAGATACATAAATATATAGATACATAAATAGATATATACATAGATACATGCGTAATATATATATATATATATATATATATATATTATGCATTCTACAACACATTAATTTTTAATATTTATTGTTCATATATATATATATATATATATATATATATATATATATAGAGAGAGAGAGAGAGATAGATAGATAGATAGATAGATAGATAGATAGATAGATACTGCTAGACTCTCCCATCGATTTTGGCGTATGAGGGTCAAGCAACCTCACTTCCTAGAAACTGATAGCCAGACGACCTGCACAAATCATTTGATTTTAGTAGTGAAGGCTTTGTGCAGACCCAACCACCCTTGAAGATCCGAATACAAGGAACTGGTGCACAATTTGCCACACGGTCCCCATCAACCCTCCGCAGGTTTTGAATTCACAGTTGTTTTTCTCCTAGACCATCCTGTTTTTCTCCTAGGCTATAGAACTCAGTGGGCCCTGCCATTTATCGATAGCAGGTAGCGGGAGAAGAAGAGGATTTATACCTTTCCCAATGTTATTAGCACGTAAATGAATATAATGGACTCGATTGGTATTCGTTCTCGGATCTCCTATTCCTCAACCTGAGCAGCTAGCTAGCTAGATAGATAGATAGATAGACGAGGCTGGCATCCCGCTCCCACCCTTACACTGTAGAAACTTTTAAATGTAGCCGTCTCTTCTACACCAATAGCTTTATACCTCGCACCTCTCGCCTGTGGAAGACCCTTCCCAATTACTGTTTCCCTGAGAGCTATAATCTCCAACTATTCAAATGTAATGTCAATCCTCCAGTTACCTTGATCTACCCACTATCCCTCTCCTCATCCTTTCTTCTATCATTCCTATCTGCTCTTGCTCCAAATCTTCTGCAACCCCCTGCATCCTAGTGGCTTCACGCCTTGCTCGGGGCGTAATGCTTAAAAAAAAGAAGATAGATACTAATATAGATAGATACATAGTTACATCAATGGATACATAGATAGATATATAAATAGATAGATAAATAAATAATTTGATACCTAGATAGATATATAGATAAATAGATACATAAAAAGGTAGATTAATACATAGGCAAATACATAAATAGATAAATAACTAGATAGAAAGATAAATAGAAAGTTACATTATATGTGTATATTTGTTTATAGGCAAGAATATGTATTCTGTATGCATATATAATAAATAAATACAGGCATCTATGTAGATTTACACAAGTGTACGTGTAGAATGGTGCGTTTGCATGTCATGTACAGAGCATGCGCTTTTTAAATCTCTTTATATATCGCATTATGTTAAACTAGATAGCATCAGCAAAAATAATGGCCGCAAAAAGCTTATCACACAAGATGGGTGTGATAATGGAAGGGAGTTGGACAAAAATGAATTTAGCGGAATAGATTTTCTGTTTTTGAGAAAAAAAAAGAAGAAACGCAGGTTAAAGATCTAAAATGAAAAAAAAATTACCAAGACATATTTTCTAATGAAAATTCTCATTCAATACTTTGAGTTTCAAGTTGTCCGTATATTTTTCACGTACAAATCTATATATGTCTATATCCATGTGTATCACACGCCATCTCTCTCTGTATCTATGTATCACTCACCATCTCTCTCTGTATCGATATATCGCTTTGCATCTCTCTCTGTATCTATATATCACTCTCTATCTCTGTCTTATCTATATATCACTCCTAATCTCTCTATATATATCTATATAACACTCTCCATTACTCTCTGTATCTATTTTGCACTCCCCACATCTCTCTGTATCTATATATTGCTCTCCATCTCTTTCTGTATCCATGTATTACTATCTCTGTATCTATATATCTCTCATCTCTCTCTGTATCTATGTATCACTCTTCAACTCTCTCTGTATTGTTTTATCGCTCTTCATCTCTCTCTCTCTCTCTCTCTCTCTCTCATTATAGATTTATTTCTATCTCTATAGGTTTCTTAATGTCTCTATTTTGGTGACCCCAGATGCATCTCTAGGTCTCTCCACCTGTAAAACTATATCTAGGTCTCTCCATATATCACACTATCTTTCTATATCTCTGTATACGTGCGTCTCGGTGTGTGCATGCGTGCATACGTGCTTGTCTTTCTCTACCCTTTCGTGCGTGTGTGTGTGTGTGTGTGTGTGTGTGTGTGTGTGTGTGAGAGAGAGAGAGAGAGTGTGTGTGTGTGTGTGTGTGTATGTGTGTGCGCGTGCGTGTGCGGTTTTCTATCTTTATAGGGCTCCTCAACTCTCTCTGTCTGTATCTTTCTAGGTTTCGTCAACTCTTTTTGTCTCTTTTTAGCTCCATACAACTCTCTCTCTATTAACTTCTTTCTAGGTCTCTCTACCTCTCTCTATCTGTCTCTTTCTAGGTCTCTCCATATGTCACTATCTCTAGGTCTCTTCATATGTATCATTATCTCAAGGTCTCTCCATCTTTCTATGTGTGAGTGCGGGTTTGTGTGTGTGCATGGGTTCATTCGTTCTTGTCTTTCTAAATGCTTGCTTGCGTGAGTGTGTGTGTGTGTGTGTGTGTGTGCTGGCGCATGTGCGTCTTTATCTAATATCTGTGTCTAGCTATCGACGTACATCACAGTTACTCCACCTAACCAATAATTATAATTAACTTTATTATGTCTGTCCAAATCATATAAACAGTACTTGTGCTTGCGTGTGTATGTGCGTGTATATCTATCTATCTATCTATCTATCTATCTATATATATATATATATATATATATATATATATATATATATATATATATATTCACTTTAGCAGTAGTCTTTCATTAATACATATCTTATTAAAGATATGGAATTAGAGAAATAGCTGACTTATCTTAAGAGAGATAAAATGAGTTTACTAGAGAAAAACATGTAAATATTTGTGACATCAAAATCGCAACTTTTGGCAGTTACCAAAATTTGAGTTATTATGGATGGCATTTAAATATAAAATAATTTTTAATTTGAGATAAGTTACTTCAATAAAATCATTAATCATTTCTTAAAAAGAATTGAAATTCATTATTTAATTATCTTAGACTGCCGTATATAATCTTACATATCTATACATATACATTTCAAACTTCAATAGGATTACGACTCAATAGGATTTTGTGCTCCAGTCTACTTAATATTTTCCTAAACTATGCCCTGCATATTTACAAACGCAGATAATCATTTAAGCATCTCATATCACATTTCAAATGAATCTACCAAAGGACAACGAGATTGCTTTCCCTCCCGAGGCTAATGGAAAAAGAAAATCAACATTCTTTCTTACCAATTGCGCCAAGGACTCAATATAAACCTTTTCAAAACTATGATCTGCAATTGGAATGAAAGCAGTGATGCCACATGTTCTGAATCCATCATTTAATAAATTCAGGAAGTAGAATTCATAAACACTTCAGATATGTTGGAGTATGGATTATTTTAACAAATTTCCATCAACACCGCAAATCGCTACAAAACCAAAAATCAACCTGAAAGTTGGAATTATATTCTTAAATAGCCTAGTCAAATCGTGACTTTTATATGAATGTCATGCATAGCGTCAAACCTGTTCAGAATTATTTAAACTATCGGGTGTATACTGCCGATTTCTAAGATCAATTGTTATAGAAAGGGCCTTGATCGAGCGAAACGTGGGGGTCTTGGCAAAGATCCCCTTTCTTTGAACATTGAGGACGAGTGATACACATTCAAAAGCAAAGGTCAGTCATTTATGTGCCATGCGTGATACACGCATAGGCGATCATTTATCTTTCGATACGTGGTGAACGAGGCAGATTTTTTTTTTCCCGCTGTAGGTTGCCATTTCTGTCTGCGGCAGAACAGTTGCCATCAAAGGCTATAGAACCCGGTATGTCCTACTATTTACCCATAGCTGGGGAGAGGAGAAGATTCATAACTTTCCCAAGGGTATTAGCGCCTAACTGAATGCAATGAATTCGACTGGAATTCGAACTCTGATTCCTCAATCCTTGCTGCTATCCATTACTCCACCATACCTTCACTATCCATTACTCCACCGTATCTCCAAGCAAAGCACTGTACCAAGAAACAAAAATCACATCACGAGAAGACTAGCAACAGCATCAACAACTTCAATGAATATCACATGTAACTCAAATAGAAAATAATGACATAATCAAGATGCCGGCATTGCACATGAGTTCAAATAAACAAAGTTAGTAAGGAAAGCCCCATCTATAGTGGCAAACGTGATAACAACTACTGGACTATTTCCACGAAGAAATTAATTAAAGAGAGAGAAAGAGAACAATAAAACAGGAATTAAGACAGAAGATAATAATTGACATCGCATTTAAATTTTTAAAATTGACTGGAAAGTAAGCCGGTAGTAACTCTTGATTTAATCATTTTACATCCAAGTAAGGCGAAAGTGCCACGGCTACTAGGAGTAAAAATGAACGAGACGAATTTAGAAGAGTTTAACGGAAACCCAATCCTAAACATGAAAAAAAGAGATAAATCTCTATTCCTGATCAAAAGACCGGAGAAGGAGTGTGAACCGGACGAAAAACTCTTCCTTATTGCTTATTTGGGATCATTAAAAACAAATAATAATTAAATTTTCCGTTACATTTAACTATTCCAACTTTAAAATGATGAGACAATACCGCCAATTACTACGATTAAATTTTAAAGTCTAGATACCAAAAAGGAAAGCATATGAGAACAATTATAATTGAAATATTAATAAAACAGTGAAGCTACGTTACAGTTGTTTGAAATTTACTGAAATCGAGATGCTAGTTCAGGACCAATATTCAATGCATGGACGAATGGTTGATTTATAAATATCTGAGATAGATTCTGGCGAGAAAATTTCTCTAGTTCGACACAGTGAACTGAAATTCCTAACCGCCGGCCGAGCAATGGATTCAATATAATCTTTCCAATACATCTCAGCAGAAAACGATAGCCCGAGAAATTGCTAATCTCCCAACTGCCTTGACAATATAATTTTTCTTTTATCTGTCACTTAATATAAAAAAACATTTATGTATGGAGGCTCATATTTAGACATACAATGAAGTAATGTTTTCAATGTACTCTTTATATTTAATAAAAGATATAGACATACTGTAATTTTAAGCTTTACAATTTATCTCTTTGGAAAGTTCCAGCCAAATATCTGGAAAAGAGTTTGAGCAATATTCGTGTGACCTGGAAATCAAGTAAAGAAACATTTTCTAAGCATGCCTGAACAGACACTCTTCAGTGTAGTTATTCATTCTTTAACGAGAGGCTATTGAAAGATCCCGTATACCACGTGAGCGTCGCATTTAACTTGAAAATACACCTGTCCATGCTTCACGTCTCGTACTGAGTAGTTTACCCTGGTCTCCACCACTGACAAAGTCGTCGGGTTCACCGTGGTGAAATCCAGCGCGTACACTAGGGTAAAGGGCAACAATTACCCAGACTCCATCAGTTGCGCAGTATGACTATCAATCCCCCTGACTTTAGTGCAGTAGGGGAGGCAGCCTCAGGCAGCTGTTCCCTGGGTCCTGGCATCTCGCAGTATTTTTTTTTATCTCAGCTGCGCCTGTCTGTCGCACACTGCCCGAAAATAGAGATGCAACTGAGAGAAGAGAAAACCCTACTCGCCATGTAAGGAGTACTTTTGTCAAAATATTCGCACCGCTAGATATACCTGCCACCCTACAAAGCAGATCTGACTTGCTTTTTTTAAAAGAAAAGTTAAAAATTTTTCAGCTGGTAGATATCCCGAAAAAAAAACAAAAAACAAAACAAAACGAAAAAACACATGCAGACATTTTCTTAAATTTGAAAACGTGTGCGAAGGTTTCAAAGGAAGATACACAAGAGGTCAAAGACAATATATATATATATATATATTTATTAAAGACATTTTTATTTATGTTTAACGTTGTTATTTTATAGATACAAGTATTTAAGCAAATGCTCTGTTTATGATAAACAGTATTAAATAACATTTACCGGCCTGAATGTCCGAGAAATTTTCATAGAAAATATTCGTTCATAGACAGGATTCGAACCTGCATCCTATACGGAACCGTCATATACGCTGACGTGCCTTAACCACTGGCCACCATGAACCTTATGGTAGACAATGTCGAATTTTACTGTTATAAACTACAATCTTCCATGAATCTCGTACATTCATAACTGCTCTGGCGTATCGAATGTAAACAAATGAATCCGACAATTTATTTATTAAAGACATTTTATTTATGTTTAACGTTGTTATTTTATAGATACAAGTATTTAAGCAAATGCTCTGTTTATGATAAACAGTATTCTCGGACATTCAGGCCGGTAAATGTTATTTAATACTGTTTATCATAAACAGAGCATTTGCTTAAATACTTGTATCTATAAAATAACAACGTTAAACATAAATAAAAATGTCTTTAATAAATAAATTGTCGGACCTCGTCCATTTCTTAACATATATATATATATATAACTAGGCTCGGTTCGAAAAACCCTCGAATTTTTGATTTGCTAATAATCAAATCAATCTCGAGGGAAAAAAAGGTTTTAAAAAAAGAAAGAGCTACAAACATGAACTTCTGCCGACAAAAAATTCGCACGGATACAGGTCTGAAGCCCAAAGAAAAAAAACCGATACGAGTAAACAACTAACTAACAAAGCGCTCAATACAACCGTAGAGCAGACCTAGATAAACCTAGTGAGCCAGACAAACCTACCTAGGTTTCACCTAAACGGATCGTCAGGGAAAGTAAGGCTATATATATATATATATATATATATATATATATATATATGTGTGTGTGTGTGTGTGAGAGAGAGAGAGAGAGAGATCTGTTTGAAAAGTAATGAAACAAGGTGTGCTGTGTGAGATATGGGTGAAAGAGGAATAAGCGGATTTTGTTATCATCAAGCATGATAACTAGGGAGGATATAT